GTTTTTCTAAAATTGCTGCCTTTAAACAACCTTCAGAGTTCTGGGCTCCCAATCCCCACATTCTACCAAAGTACTTTGGCCTTTCAGCCATGAGTTTAAAAGACAAAAGTGGTATATTAAAAGATTTCACCACAAATAATGTAACTGTAAATCAGTTTTCTGAGGTTATTCTCTAAATTAAAGACAGCTTTTTGGCCGTGTGTAAGCAAATATTTGCCCTTATCGAAACTCAAGATCATATATAATATTTTCAAAAGAATCTGGAAACTATTGAAATGCAAGTAGGCTGAATAACTAGAGAAGTTAAGATAAAATAAAGCATTCATGGTGGAGCTGCAAAATTATTATCAGTATAAATTTAATTTATTTTTATCAAGGTTTTTTATGAGAAAAAATAATTTCATTACTTTTCCCTAATTATGTAGTACATATATATTTATTAGATTTTGGAAAAAAATTTGAGTCATTCATTAACTATTATGTTGTGATAATTTTGCCATTATAATTATTACCTAAACATTTCATATTGTAGATATTCCACAATTAACTTAATAATTACTGTTATTGAACAGTTAATTTATTTATAATTTTCAGCATTATAAATTAATTTCTTATGTAGAAATACTTATATGTATGTCCAGTATTTACTTCTATTTATTTTATTTTTTATTTCAGCATACTATGGGGGTACAAATGCTTAGGTTACATATATTGCCCTTGCCCCACCTCAGTCAGAGCCTCAAGCTTGTCCATCCCCCAGACGGTGCACACCACACCCATTAGGTGTGAATATACCCATCTCCTCTTCCCCTCTCCCATCTGCCCAACACCTGATGAATGTTATTACTATATGTGCATTTAAGTGTTGATCAATTAATACCAATTTGCTGGTGAGTACATGTGGTGCTTGTTTTTCCATTCTTGTGATACTTCACTTAGTAGAATGGGTTCCACCTCTATTCAGGATAATACAAGAGGTGCTAGATCACCATTATGTTTTTGTGGCTGAGTAAAAGACTATTTTTACAATTCAAAAATTCTATTTTAGAATTTTCCACTTATTCCATTAAACTGTATTTATACTCTTCTTTTAGTATAAAATATTTTTAGTTATTATTGTTTTGAAGTATGCTTTACTGTTTCATAGTTAAAGTTGTAAATATTACACTCATTATTCTAACTTTCTTGGCTTATCATAGTATTTATTTTTTATTTTAGTGTATTATGGGGGTACAAGTGTTAAGATTACTTATATTGCCCATGCCCCCCTCCCCCCTCGAGTAAGAGCTTCAAGCATGTCCATCCCCCAAACGTTGCACATCTTACTCCTTGTGGTATCATAGTATTTTTAATTCTAGATTAAGAAGAGCCAAGAAATATTTCTCATTGATTTTGATGGGAATCATGTTAAACTTGTAAGTACATTTAATAAGAACTGCTATTGCTACAAGATTATATCTTCTACTCCATGAAAATTTTTTTGAATACTTGCAGAATTTTCTTTTTCCTCAAATTTTAAAAACAGCACTTATAAGATTGGGTCGAAATGTTAATTCTTTTAGTTCCCTGATTCTTAGTTTATCCTTTCCATTTGAGATCATTTTCTTCTTTTCCTCATCATACTATGGGGGTACAAATGCTTAGGTTACATATATTGCCCTTGCCCCACCTGAGTCAGAGCCTCAAGCTTGTCCATCCCCCAGACGGTGCACACCACACCCATTAGGTGTGAATATACCCATCTCCTCTTCCTCTCTCCCATCTGCCCAACACCCGATGAATGTCCTCAGTTGAAGGGTTTTGTCTTTTTCACATCTGCAGTTAGTTACGTTGTGTCTCCTCTTCAGTAACATCACGTGTATCCACATTCTGCATTTCAATTATTTTCCCCTATCTATATTACTCAATCTCCTCTATTATTATTATTATTATTATTATTTGAGACAGAGTCTCGCTTTGTTGCCCAGGCTAAGTAAGTGCCGAGGCATCAGCCTAGCTCACAGCAACCTCAAACTCCTGGGCTCAAGCAATCCTGCTGCCTCAGCCTCCCAAGCAGCTGGGACTACAGGCATGTGCCACCATGCCTGGTTAATTCTCCTCTATTATTTATAACTCTCATTCCATAGGTTAATATATTTTTAATTACTGATTAAATCTAATCTTACGTTTTTTTTTAACTTCAAAGTATTACAGAGGTACAAACATTGTTGGTTACATGGATCACTTTTGTAATGCTTAAGCCAGGGCTTTAAATGTGCCTGTCACCCAGATAGTGTTCATTGTACATGTTAGATAGGTTTTCACCCATCCCCTTCTCCTTTCTCCCCTCTGCCTGATTTCCATTGAGTTATACTTCACTCTGTGCACCTGAGTGTTCATCAGTTAGTCCCAATTTAATTGTGTGTACATGTGGTGTTTTTTTTCCCCATTCTTTAGATACTTCACTTAGGATAACGGTCTCCAGTTCTAGCCAAATTGTTGCCAAAGACATTAAGTCATCCTGCTTCATGGCTGAGTAGTATTTTATAGTATATATATATATATATATATATATATATCACATTTTGTTAATCCATTCATGAATTGATGGGCATTTCTGTTGATTCCACATCTTTGCAATTGTGAATTGTGCCACAATAACATTCGAGTGCAGGTGTCTTTTTGATACAATGACTTCTTTTCTTTTGGATAAATACCCCATAGTGGGATTGCTGGATAAATGGTAGGACTACTTTTAGTTCTTTGAGGAATCTCCATACTGTTTTCCATACAGGTCGTACTGATTTGCAGTCTCACCAACAGTGTATAATCATTCCTTTCTCTATGAATCTGCACCAGCATTTGTCGTTTTGGGACTTTTTAATAAAAGCCATTCTAACTGGTGTAAGGTGATATCTCATTGTGGTTTTAATGTTGAATACCAAATCGGATGTTATCTTTGTCTTTTTAAACTCCTTGTTACTTACAATCAGTTGTTCCATTGTTTCATTCCTCACCTGTTCTTTCATGGATTTGTGTTTCCTTAAATATTATAGAAAACATTGAGCACAATTTTATGTAACTTCCTTCTATCTCCTATAATAAATCTTTTAAAAGGTCCACCTTATTTCTCAATCTTGATTGCTATATTCTTCCTTCTTGTATTGCTGCTGCTGATTTAGTCGCCATTTTGTTGATGTTGTGTTTTTTCTTGTTCACTTCTGCTTGAATGATGGGAAGACTACCTGCTGTTGCATTTGCTAATATATACAAATTTGGATTATCCTTGGTTTCTTTTACTGTCTACATATATGGACTTAATTTCTCTTTCTCATCTTGAAATTGTGTGTTGTTTTATGGGCAAATATTCTAGCTAAATTTCTGGTATCTGGCCAATTTACATTGTATGATGCTTCTGGACTGAGGAAGAAATTCTTTATTTCTCTTTTCTATTGATGATCTATAGGGAGAATACTTTATTCCTGTTGTCCTAGCTTTGTAGGAAAACAAATATAATTTCTATTGTTATGTTTAGTGAAGGCTTTGCATCTTTAAAATAATATACACAGAGATAATTTGGGGCTTGAATATCTTAACAACTCTAGTCCTTCATGGCATGACCCCTCCCTCACTGCATGTACATTTGTAGGGAAAGATGTTGTTAATGTTCTTGCTGAAAATGTCTGTATATTTTGCTATTTTTATAAATATTTCCATAAAAGGCAAAGGACAATAAAATTACCCTGAGATTTTTGCCATTATAATGACATCTTATTTAATTTTGAATAACTGAACACTATCATACCAAAAATTATAAGATGACTTATATTTCAAAAATTTTCCCAACTCTCATATCTGTCTATATAGACCTTATCTAAATGCATATTCTTCTCATTTATTATTGTTACTTTATTTTGCACAAATTATTATTTATTATGTTCAACATTTATAGAAAAGGAGTTGGAAAATCAAATATATAAATATAGGAACACAAAGAGAGATAAAGAGGAGGCATGGCAGTCAAATAAAGAAGAGAGATTTTCAGCCAGGTACAAACTCATTTCTATTGGCTCTCAGCTGGTGCTCACTATTGTAACAACTTACATATCCAAGTTGACAGATGACCAATACATAGGTGAGATTTTTAATGGTTCTTAATGATTTCACAGGGGAGTTGTCGATGGAAATATGAATTTTTCTATGGCAAACATGTACATAAATACCATGAAGACGAGGATAGGTGGAAAAATTCTATGGTTGTGAGGACATGGCACCAAGAACAGTATATGAAAGGGGATGAGAAAACAGTGCTAGAGCCTATCATCTTCAAGAAAATGGTGCCCAAATAGCCACAGTGGTATCAAATTTTAATAGGAATGGATATATTTGTGATATAACTGATAAACCAAGACAGGTGACTATGTAAAATGAAAGTGTAAAGAGTCAGCTTCTCCTCAGGCTATCATTGTGTATAGCCCAGAGCTTCCTTCCTGCCTGTACACTCTTCAGGTTGAATCTCTCTGTTGGATCTTAGATAGAGCAGATGAAAATGGGATTTTTTTTTTCTCTTCCCAATGAAGTTGGGGGAAAAAACAGATCATAGGGAGTCATGATGACTCTGTCTTCTGTGACCATGTGTTTCATTACAGTTTTTAGTGATTGGATTTCATGTACAGGATTGTGTAAACCTCTCTGTGAATATATATGTGTATATATAAGAAATTATTGGTAAAATTTGAAAGTAAATATTTGTCTCACTTGTTCTCTCTTTGTTGCATCTTATGAAATGATTATGTGTGACTTTTTTTTCTTTACTTAGGCATCGTGACCCCAAAATAAATTTCATCCAAACAAAAAATGCATTTGACATCTTTTTCATATTCTAATATTTATGTAACATAGTATGAAATACACAATAAATATATTTGAGTACATGAATTCTTAAACCATTACTTAACACACCAGTATTTTCAAGTTTAAAAGATAACATATTCAAAGTAATCAAAATTTAGTTTTCTTACCTTTCTGGATATGTAAGTGATTTTAACATGAGACTCCGGATCCTATATTGGCATGTGGAACACTGCAGATTTGAGCTTTGGAAATATGTCAAACCAATGCTTGAAATATTTACAACATCATTTAGAAATTGAGCAAGAATCTTGACTTCTTGGAGTTTATAAAATGGTTGGTTCCTTCTAAATAGAAAATTTAATATACTCAGCATATTACAAATTTGAAACATAATTTAATTCTGAAATCAATATAATCATAATTAGGCAGGATATAAAGAACAATATTATAAGGAAATGGCCAAAAAATATTTGTTGATGTATTAATTAAAATAATTTAAACTGTAATTCATAACAGAATCAAATAATTAATAATAATAAATGCATTCCCTCATAGAAATGGTTTAAAAATGCTTTTTTGGGGAAAAAGTGAGATATTTTGTCTTTCTAAGTAGATATCTAGATTGCACATTTATCTAAGATCAAAGCAGACATTTTATGTGTTTTTAGACCCTTAACAACTATCACAGTTCCTTGAATAGACCAGGTGCTCAATTGATAACTTTTTGTTGTTCTGTGCTACTTTATCAAATATTTTTGACTTAAATGAATACTTATAAAAGCCTGAGATTAAAAAAAAAATAGAGGTGGCATTTAATAAGTGCAATTTTCTGAGCATTTACAATGTAACAAAGCTTCACTTACTTGGCCTCATTTAACTATCTCATTGAGTAAGTCCTTTTATTAGATACTATAAACATCATAGTGCAGATGAGAAAACTGAGTATCAGAGCATGTGTCTTTCCCAAAGTCACACAGTGAGAGGTTACTCAGCTGGGCTGTAAATACAGCCATCTGAACACTCTTCAGAGTTTTCTGCTCAATTCCTCCTCCCTATGTGCCAGAAACAAGAGTCATTTATGTCAATATGGGCCTGTCTGACCCCAAAAGGAACTCTATCTGCTCTCATTGACTTTCTTTCATGAGCTAAATCTAAGCACAAAGGAAAGGAAAGGAGGAGAAGGAGAAGGAGGAAGAGTGGGAGGAGGAGAAAAGGAAGGGAGAAGGAGAGGAGGGGACAGAAGAGAAAGGAGGAATTTAAAAAAAAAAACTGGTTGAAATAAGTTCCTCTTTTGAGGCAAGAATGACTTGCCTAATCAAAGGTGGCAATCACACAGAGAACAGCTGAGTTGAGACCAGTAGGGCACCCAGCACAACCTGCCAGTTCCTATTTGTTCCTTTTCTCATCTTCTTTTCATTCCTCATAGCAGCTAGACCCAGAAAAAGGATGTCATCACTCCCCTCCAGGTCCATCTCTACTCTCTCCTGGCAGGGTTACCACCTCCTCTCTCACAGACTATAATGCCTCTGGGCAGATCTCTAATGTCTTTCCAGGAGGTTATCTAAGTTTCTCAGGGATATTTTAAATTCAACACAGCCAAATAGGAATGTGTTATCTTCCCCTACAAATTCATATCCGCCCCAGTGGTTTAAATGATCAACAAAATAAGTTTGCTATGACCTCCAAATCTCTGCCTCCAGCTGAGGCCTATCTGCTGAGTTCCACATGTACATATCCACTGTCATTTGCCATGTCCATCTGGATATCTCAAGGATGCCTGAAGCTCAGTAGGTTTAAATCTAAATGAATCATGTTCCTCAACATTCTCCCCCACACACAAATAAAACCCTACAGACACTAAAACTTACACATTTTATTATAGTATTAAATGGCATTACCATCTATTGCCCAGGTCAAACGACTAGGAAGCACCCTTCAAAGCATCCTCCCCACATCCAAGTATCATAAATTCCTACTGACTTTACCTTTGAAATATCAAATCTGTTTACAATCCATCCTCATTTTTCTATCTCTACTGCAAATCCTCTAAGCCGGGACAACATTGTTTCTTGCCTGTATTTTTGCAACAACATCTTGCTTTTTCTCTCTCCAATCCACTGTAGTCAAATTGTTTTCCAAAATAAAAATCCATTCTTGCCCCCAACTAGACAGCCCCAGGTAAAATACTTCAGTGATTTTCATCTTCCCAGGGAATGAAATATAAATTCTGGAACATGGCCTATGAATTCTAATTCCTGTAATATCTAGGTGCTCTCTACCTCTCTTGCCACTCAATGGCTTTCCATGCCTCAATTCTCAAACATACTGGACTTCCTTTAGCTCCTGAACCAAATCATGCTCTCTCCTGCTTCAGGTTCACTGCATTTGTTGGTCCCTCTACCTGGAATGAAACAGGGCAGTGACTCTTAGTCACCATTTATGTCTTAGCTAATACAAACATCCATAGAGAAACTTTCAGTGACCCCACTAATACACATCTCCTATGTTAAGTGCCCATACCCACTATAATTTGCATCAAGACATTTTTCATGGATGGATTTTATTTATATAATTTTATAATTATTTGATTATCTTTATATGCCTCATTATTCCGTTAGCTTAATGAGGGTAGGATCATGACTGTTTTTCTTAGCACTTAGCATAGTGCCTGGCTCAATGTAGACATTCATTAAAAATTGTTTGAATAGAGGAATGATGGACATCATCATTTTATTTTTATAATTAATTGAGTCTACCTGCTGCACTAGACTGAAATTATGTAAGGGAAGATATCTAATTTGTTCCAAATTTTATCTTCAATTCCTAGCATAGTTTCTGGTAAATAGATGCTCTCAAGAATTTTTATTGACTAATTAAAGTGGATCCTTTCCAAGTATCCCCTAGCTCAGTGCAGAACGGCACGATGCTTTTTAAACAGTCACAAAGCTTAGTACTTGAAGTCACTGTAGATTGATTTCTTTGCTTTACTTTCAAATATTAACCATTAAAACACATCACACACCTATTCTAAAGCCCCAAATCCTCTAGATTCTAACTTACCCTTCTTTTCCACTTCTAGTGACCTGGGCCAGGCCCCCATCATATGTCACACAAATTATTACTGTAGCCACCTCTGTGGACTCCTGCCTTCATTCTTGTTCCCTCTAATCTCCCCATTACTTGTCCATCTGGGGGATCGTTCTAACCTGAACATCCAAAATCGATATTGCCTGTTTAAAACCCTATATTAGCATGCATTAATGTATTTGGCCTCATAATGCGTAAATGATTTTTAGTGACCTATAAAACTAACTACACTACAGCACTAAGTATGGAAATCAGGATGCAGGACACATTTTCAATAAGATTCTAATTTTTCTAGATAAAACATAATGTGTATGCACACAGGGCCATGCACAAAAAGGAGTACATTCTCCTTATTCCCCAACTGCATTAACTTACCTCAAATCTTTCCTTGCTTCTCCTCTATGTTCCAACAGCACATTAAGTGGTCTTCTATTATAAAACATATTACTAAGAGCCGTAACTATGCAATAGTCTCATCCAGTATTCTGAGACCCCCTTGAGAATAAAACACTATTTATTTCAGTTTGAGTCCTCATTTTGTGAAATGCCTGAATAAGTTTGGTGCTGAATAATTTGTTGAATAACTGAATTAATTCAAATGCTAACAAAGCAAGTTTTTGATAAGAATAAATAGAACATAGATATATATATATATATACACATAGAACATATGTGTATATACAAATATATACATATATAAATTTTGACCAATTTAAATAAATGAACTATTATGGAGTAATATTATTTAATATATCCACTGCTCAAAATTAGGTTACAAAGGGCTTAAAATTTCTCTTAATAAAAGATGAGTCTTCATGTAAGTGAAGAATTTGGATTGAAGTTCTGCTTTAATTTGTTTTTCTTCTTGTTTGGGTGATTGAAGGTTACTTACAAAGGGAAAAGAACAAAGAATAATTGGTATTCTTTTACTACCAGTTCTATCTAACTATTAAATTATTTGAAAAGCTTTTATTCACTTTAAGAAAATTAAATTTATAGAATCTAATACTAAAATATGTTTAGCTTAAAATTTTAAAAATTTTGCCTGACTTGTAACCCAGGATGCTATTGCTAAGGATAACCAGGGCAGTCCCTGATGGAATGGTCTTTATGTTACTTCAGTACAGATGTACTCAATATTTTTGCCATCATGAGCTTATTCTATCATTATTTTCTTTGTGGATTCCAAAATGTAAAGATTTATCTACTAAACAAACTTCATGTATCATCAACTATGGCTACATTTATATTTTAATGTTGGTTTGGATTTTAAGTATTAATGATACTGCAATATTAAATACATCACTGCCATTGTTTGTGAATATGCAAATAAATAAACAGGCAGGGACATTTTAGTGGCTCACGGCTAATGGTTGAGTATGTTTGGAAGTCACTAGATACCCAGGTCCAAGTTCCATGAGATAGAGTTAATCAATTAGTTAATTCATGTGCTACTACAACTACCTAAACTGTGACTGCAGTAAATGTTGGTGATATCAAATTGTGATTCCTGAAATGCCAATGTCATCAATAACCAGTAAGATCTTAAACCAAATTGTTACAAGTTTAGGCACAATAACTTTACCTTTTATATAATCATTAGAAATGGCAGTGGTGAGCCCTTCGAAAAGAGTTTCATTATTTAATGGCTTTCTAGAAGCCTAGCACAGCAGATTGGAAACCACAATTATAATAGTAACTTGAAGTTTTATATTTCTCTTTTGTTTATGATAAAATTAATTTTCTAGCTAATGGATTTATTAAAAACACAAATATACATTCAGCAAGCTCAAGCTGAGAACATTCTTTGAAATTATTAAACTTAAAAATAAATGTATAGACCGACATATACATATGTACATACATATAAAGTTAAATAGAAGATTGAGAAAAAACAAAACCCTGCTTTGAAATACTATTAATAAAACGAGGTCACTATATTGACAGAAGTTACTGGACATTTATTCACATCACTGAGAACAGGATGCTGCCTGAAAGCTAGAGAGAATTAGAAGGCAACCTGGTTAGGAAGAACACTGGAATGAAGCTCAAAAGAGAGAGTAAGAAAAACTTTTTTTTCCCTTCATCTAACTTTTATAATCACCAATGAATAAGATACTCAATAAAGCAAACATTAAATTTATGAAACAAAAAAATATTAAAATGTACTTACTTGTAGAGCTTTGGCTCTTCAGTCATTCCAAACTGGTTTAATAATTTAAATGAAATATAGCCATACTTCATAGTTTCATCCAGAACAATTATACTGAGAACAAAATAATAGGCTACAAAACAAAAATATAGAATACAATTCACATTATTTTTTTAAACTTTGTTTTGTTACATATGCAAATATGCATATACATATGCATATAGATGTAATCTAGATGCATAGAACAAATGCAAATAATTTTACTGAGAGACACTCATTTGGTAAATAGGTAACACATTTTACTTCATGTTTGCCAACTTTTGACTAGTCTTAAAAATGAAGAATTGAAAAGCCTCTCAGTCATAGGTATGGGGAAGAGTTGACCAACTAGCTTCTAAATGCTAATTGTTTTGCAAACCAAAAACATTCAGTATTTAAGCCAATTAAGCAATGTCTCTTCTTCAATAACAAATCTAAATTAAATATGATAAAGTTTCTTAATTATCTGCTTAATATTACCAGCCATGTTTGCTTGGTAAACATAATTCCCAATTTCTCTAGCTGTTCAAGAATAATGGTGAAAGTGAATAATCCTATAAGGAAGAAACTCATGGTAGTTCTTATTCAGATTTCCCTTACTAAAATTTAGTATAGTGTAGTATATCTTTCAGAGTCAAGGATGCTGAATTCACCCCTATATTCAATATTGCCAGGGCTAAACAGGAAGTATTAGCTGTCTGTGAGTTATTCCAAGTATTGTGCACCCCATTCTACAAGACAATGTATATACATTATGTTAAATGTAACATGGAATGCACGAAATTATCTGGTAAGAAATATACATACAAAAATTGTGCATGCTAGCTGTTAACTGTTGCTACTAAATAGTCAAGAGTAACCTCATGCCTGTGACTGATGCTTAGTGCTACCTCAAGTAAGGTAACGGACTTATAATTGTACCTTGTCAATTTCTGACACAGAGATATAAAGAAACACTTCTTACTACGGAGTGGCTGCCCAGCTTCCAGCAAAATACTTTGATTCACTTTACCCATAAAGTGGGCATTCAGATTTGCTCAAATGATTTCTGGTAGTATGACATATTGAGTTGTTACAAAGTAAGCCCATAAATGTGATTCACCAGATAAGCAAAAATGAAGATCATATCATCATCTCAATAGATGCAGAAAAAGCATTTGACAAAATTCAGCATTCTTTTATGATAAAATCTCATAACAAAATAAGGACAGATAAAATATACTTCAAAATTATAAAAGTTATTTATGACAAACCCACAGTCAACATCATATTGAGTGAGAAAAAGTTTAAAGCATTCTCACTCAGAACTGGAACAAGACAAGGATACTCACTGTCACCATTTCTATTCATAGTGCTGGAAGTCCTAGCCATAGCAATCAGGCAAAAGAAGGAAATTAAGGGTACCCAAATGGAGAAAGAAGAGGTCAAACAACAACTCTGTGCTGATGATATAATCTTATATCTAGAAAACCTCAAAGATTCCACCAATAAATTCCTGGAATTGAAAAATAACTCAGCAAAGTCTCAGGGCTGCAAAATCAATGTACACAAATCAGTATCATACCTATACAGCAACAATCATTAAGCTGAGAATCAAATCAAAGACTCAATAACTTTCTCAATAGCTACAAAGATAACAACATACTTAGGAAAATATTTAACCTAGGAGATGAAAGATTGCTACAAAGAGAAGTATGAATCACTGAGCAAGGAAATTGCAGAGTAGATAAACAAATGGAAAGACATAAAAGGAAGAATCAACATTGTTAAAATGACTATACTACCCAAAGTGCTTTATAGATTCAATGCAATCCAAATAGAAATACCAATATCATTTTTCACAGATCTAGACAAAATAATTCAATGCTCTATTTGGAACCAAAAAAGAGCCCAAATAGTCCAAGCCACCTTAAGCAAAAGGAACAAATCTGAGGCATCACTTTACCAGACTTTAAGCTATACAACAAGGCTATAGTAATGAAAATAGCATGGGAATGGCACAAAAATAGAGACATAGACCAATGAAACAGAACAAAGAATGCCCACATAAAACCAATTACATATTGCCTTCTGATGTTTAACAAAGTAGACACCAATATACATTGGGGAAAACAATCAATAAATGGTGCTGCAAAAAATTGGATAGCCACATGGAGAAGATGAAGGATTCACATGTCTCACCTCTCACAAAAATTAATTCCAAATGGATAACAGACTTAAATCTAAGATATTATCCAAAGTGAGGTGACACAAGACATGGAAAATGGGCCCCACATCTACTCGCTATAAAATTGGTACTGACTGATTAAAACTATGGTTCTCAAATGGTGGCGATGTTCAACAGGAATCTGGGGGTGGGGGCGTGGGGGAAGACCCAATCTTAGGGATGTGGTGAGCATTTTGGAGGGGAAGGGCATCACTCTAACCCTTCTTAGGGAGAGGCAAAGATATACAATGTAACCAAAATGTCAAACAAACAAACAAAAAAGAAAAAAAAAATTTTTATCAGGTGGGGGGCAGGCGGAAGGGGGGAGGAGGAGAAGGGTGTATACTTACATAACGTGTGTGGTACGCACCACCAGGTGATTGGACACGCTTGAATCTCTGACACATCAGGGGGAGAGGGGGCAGGGGCAATATTTGTAACCCTAACAATATTTGTACCCCCATAATATGATGAAATAAAAGGAAGAAAAAAAATTATAAGAATTCTTGCAGAAAATGTAGGAAAAACTCTTCTAGATATCGGCTGAGGCAAAGAATTTATGAAGACCCTAAGGGCAATCATAACAACAACAACAAAAATAAATAAATTAGACTTGATTAAATTAAAAAGCTTCTGTACAGCCAAGGAAACAATCAACAGAGCAAATGAACAACCTACAGAATGGGAGAAAACATTCACATGCTATACATCTGATAAAGGGCTAATAACCAAGTCTATAAAGAATGCAAGCAAATCAACAACTAAAAAGCAAACCCCATTAAAAAGTGGGCAAAAGACATGAACAGAAACTTTTCAAAAGAAGATAGAATAATGGCCAATAAACATGAAAAAATTCTCCATGTCATAATCATCAGAGAAATGCAAATCAAAATCACAATGAAATATCACTCCAGTGAGAATGGCTTTTATCAAAAACTCCCCACACAATAGATGCTGGCATGGATGCAGAGAGAAAGGATCAGGTATACACTGTTGGTGGGACTGCAAACTAGTGCAACCTCTATAAAAATACTATGGAGATTCCTCAAAGAACTAAAAGTAGACCTAACTTTTCATCCAGCAATCCCAGTACTAGGTATTTATCTAAAGGGAAAAAAGTCACTACTTCATAAAAAAGACACTTGCACTAGAATGTTTACTGCAGCACAATTCACAATCTCAAAGATGTGGAATCAAACCAAGTGCCCATCAATTCATAGTGGATTGATAAAATGTGGTATGTGTATACCATGGAATACTACTCACCCATAAAAAACCCAAGTTGATACCTTTTGCAGCAATCTGGATGAAACTGGAGATCATGCTCCTGAGTGAAGTATGGCAAGAACGGAAAAACAAACACCACAGGTACTCACTATGAAATTGGAACTAACTTATCAGCACTCATGTGCACAGAGGGAAGTATAGCTCAACAGAATTTGTACAGGTGGGAGGGGGGAGAAGGAGATGGGTGAAATCATACCTAACAGGCACAATGTACACTATATGGGTGATGGGCTCACTTATAACTTTGAGTCAAACAATACAAAAGCAATCTATGTAACCAAAACAGTTGTACCCCCATAATATTCTGAAGTAAAAAATAATGAAAAAAAAAGAACAAATGCAGTGATGGTCAAAAGATTCAGGCTATCAGAAAACCTGCAACACAAAAATAATTTGTGCTGGAAAACCACTAACTTCCTGTCCTCATTTTTGTGACTTACAAATACCCAATGCAGAATACTAGCATCTTTATCAGATCTACATTTTCAAACATGTTTCAAAAGCTTTCTGTTGAAAGATTATATAATCCCACACCTGTTTAAATAATGGATGTAATTGCATTCAGATTAAAATGAATATTTGTATATTCTTCACTGTTGTATTAACAAAACTGCTAGCTTTCTAAAGAAATAAATTGGGTGATCGCAATAAAAAGTTTTTATCATGTTACAGACTGAATAGAAAAAGAGGAACTAGAAAATTTTACTGGTTATGTGGGTGAATAAAAATTGTTTCCTGAGACTAAATAGAAATCCAAATAACTTGGAATTTAAATTTATACTAAGTCACATGGTGAAGGACACCTAAACATTTACATAAAAATGCAAGGATTGAGGTAATATCTTTCTGAGAAAAAGTCTAGCTTTCTGCGAAGGGAGAATTTTGAATTAGAGCTGACTGATGAGAGTTTTCTATGTTAATGAAAGACATGAGTCTACTTTGAAATAGCACAAACTTTTGTTTCCTTAATTTTTAATTCATACTTAGATGATTTAGAGTGGAAAATAATAATAAAGCAAAATAAATCAGTAAACAAATTCAATCAGAAGAGAACTACAAATTATCTTTAGGGAACAATCAGATTGAAAGTAATTTATCTAAAAACAAAAGAATTAGTCTATTAAAAAGGTTGAGCTAAATTAATTCTGAACGTGGAATTCTGTCTGAATTGTATTTTCATTCTGGAATAAGGGAATGGTAAGTACATTTTCACAAGAAAAACAAACAAAAAAAGACTGGACAAACTACTAGTGAGAAGTCACTGGTGAAAAGTGGCCTTACTACCAACTTCTAACAGAGGAAAATAACCTCTCTAACAGAAAGCAAGGGAAATAAACTCACAGCACAACTGCCCTATATTCAGTTAAAACACCTGTGACCTAACTTCTTGTGTCTAAGAGTTCTTTCTCAGCATTGAAGAGCCCTAAGTGGACAGTAGGGATGTGAACTCCCTCCTCCAGCTCTCTGCCTCAGTTCCTGTCCCCAAAACCCAGATTTCAAGAACTCAGATAACCCAGCCTCACAGAAAACAGAAAAAGTAAAGGGCTCCATGACATCTTGCAGCTGCTTCTATTATCAGTCTACTGAAACTGACAAGAAAG